GGGGGGGAGCAGCAAACTTTTCAGCTATGGCAGGTTTCAACCCACCTCACAACCTCAGATGCTCTGAGGGTCACACTGAGGGACAAAAGGGACATCTGCCAAGTGGATACCAAGTTCAAGAACATTCTATCAGTCACCCAAAGGACCAGCTCAGGAAATAAAGAACAGGAGACTTGGAATAAATGTTTCATTGGTCATGATGATCAAAAGATGATAGTTAACACACACACACTCAGACCTCCTCCCACCTGTCGCAGGGCTGAAGCAACACCTCCAGGCCCCCCACCCCTCTCTGGGCTTCGCTGGCCACACCCTGCAGCTGCTGCCCCGCCCCGGACTCTGCTCCATTTCCACGTCTCTCAACATGGTGCCTGGACGCTCACAGTCAAGAAGAGCCGAGGACTTGACCTGAGTCTGCGGCAGGCAGGGTTGCAACGTCCATGAGTCCTCCGTCTCCCTTTCCCCACCTCTCTCCTTTCTCCTCTCCCCTCTCCCACCCCATGTTCCCCAGAAACAAATAGGATGGCTTCACTGGTCAATTCTTTACATGTACAAACACCAAAAGCAGAGGGAACACCCCTGGCCGCCCCCCTCCCCCCAAACCCCAGTGCTGCGAGGGCAGCCAGTGGCGGGCGAGGCTGCCTCGGGAACCGTGGAGCTTCTGGAGCCGTCAGGCTGTTCTGGAAACTTCTTTGGCCTCTGGGCTTTACCTGGAGGCCTCTTCCTTAAGCTCCTTGTTTTTCCGCACCTCTTCTGCGTGCTTGTCCTGGGAGGGAAGGGAAGGAAAAGGGCAGGTTACTTCTGGGGGGTAAAGGGAGGGACAAGAGAACCCAAAGAATGGCCACCACTGGAGTGAAGAGCAGGCTCTGAAGGAGTCCTGAGAAGGGACAGAAGGTGGCAGGTGAGACTGGCAGGAGGCAGGTCCAGTGAGTCTGTTGGTGTGGCCCTAGGTAGCTCACTGACTGGGGCCAAGCTCCCGGGACCCACCTCCCAACGAGCCCAGCGCCCACCAGCCTCCGCCTCCCCCACCTGGCCATCCTGGGCTTTGCCCTGAATACGATACTTGGCTTAATAGAAGTAGCCACTCAGTGTAGCTGTTAGAGGAGCAGGCAGAGCAGGCAGGCCTCCTTACAGGCGTCCCCTACACACACATGCAACTTCACTGCCACTTTTATTTCTTGTCTGTCTCCTTATGAGAGTTGTCTAACTCCCTTGGTAAAAGATGAGGGCTCTTAAAGTATAAATGGATTGAAGAATTTTTGGGAGTGTTGTCCAACTCCAAAAGGTGAGCTTTCTTACAAGTGTGTTAAAGAGAGCCCTCTTTTGCTTCCCAGCATAATGAAGCCAAAAGATGGGATCTGACTTCAAAGGCCCATTAGCTGTGTGACGGTGACCAACTTATTTCACTGATCAGCTCAGTTCTCTGGTTTTTAAAGAGAGGGGCATGCATGGGAAGCTCGTTTACCTCTAGAATTCTGCAATTTTAGTGTTTACCTCTAGGGTTTATCATTACAACTCATTCATTGTGCATAGATCCAGATCCTCTATTGAGTGACTTCCTTATGGGCAGGGAGCATGCCTTGTTCTTTTTTGTATTTCCCAGTTCCTCCTATGGCGCCTTACTCATGGTAGGTGCTCAATAAATATTGTCACTGTCAGACTCTGGCATCCATCCAGATATCAGGAGTCAGCCTGGAGCATGCACACTGAGGTAGTCCAGGTTCCCAGGATATATCTTAAACTACAAACCTGTCCCTAGAATTTCCCATGGTCCTGGGGAAACTATGGGAAGTGGTGCATTTAAGGCAGTGGTTCTCAACCTTGCTACGTGTACCAGCATGACCTAGAAAGCTTGTTAAACTGCAGGTCCTCAGGCACCATCCCTAGAGAGCCAGCGTGAGTAGGTGTAAGATATGATTCATGTATCTGTAGTGTTAAACTTGACACCAGGAGAGTCTGGTGCAGGTGATTAATGACCCACAAAAATACTGACACAAGCACTGTTGAAGGTGTCCCTGAGCCAGGGCAGAAACCACACACCTATCTCTTGCCTTCATTGGTGGGCAAGGTTGAACAGAGGTCAAGATCCCAGAGAAGTGAGGCCAACTTTAGTGTCTGCGCCAACATCTTGCTTCTTTGAGTCTTACTTGACCTCCAAATCTATTACCTCAGAGTCTGGGTCTTCCCAATCTCTTGAAATCTACCTCCATGTCCAGGTGAGCTCACTGGACAGAACCCTAGATTTCTGGACTTCCTTTCCTTGGCCTCCAACGACCTCCTCTCTGACAAAAGGCCAGAAGGACAACTGGGAACTGGTCTCCCTGAAATAATCGTTGAAAGAGCCACCTGGACATGTAGCCAAAGAACTGGGCTCTAGTCCCAGCTTAGTGTCTGTGTGCCACTGGGCAAGTTATCTGACCTCCTTTGGCATGGTTTCCCCATTGGTAAAATAAGGATAACACCTGCCCTGCTCGCTTCGTGGGCTGGTTGTGAAACTAAGGGTATGAAGAAATAAGAAGTGTTGGGCAATCTTTCAAACACCACATTGTGCTCTAGCCTCAATAACTTCTTCTGGGTTTGGCCTGAGAGACCATGCCTCATCCTATCCAAATCCCAGATTTCTTTTCCGGCAGGAGTTTGGTCCTAACCATCCCTGTAACTGGGGAAGTCTGCCATTAGACAAGATCACTTCCCTCCTCTCCGGTACTTGGTGGAGGCCTTGCTGCCCCCAGAAGGATGGAGTATAAGAGCGGAGGGGCTACCACACGCTGGCCAACTGCAGGGCCTATGCAACATTCAGATCCCCTGTGAAGAAACTAGATCTTTCTAGTAGCTGTTGTGAAGGGCCTGACACTCTGTGGATAGGCAGGAAGGAGCGGGGACCACGCTGCTCACCATGGGACGAGGCCACGATCTGGTTCCGGGAGTCACCGCGCAGCAGGCGGCTCCTGGAAATAAAACACAGAGCTGGAGCTCTCCCAGGAGCTGCAGGAGAAACTGGGGCAGCCTTGAGGCTCAGGAAACGAGGCCAGCATGTTCTTAGCAGAACGGGCTGTTATCCTGCTGACACGGAGACCAACCTCAGCCTCTCACGTTTCTCATATTTAGGTGGCACCATCTGGTTTATTGACTAAAGGCAGCATATTGGAAAGGCTCGTGACTCCTTCGGTCCATATCAAGAGGGTTGGAAAGAATCATGTTTCCTGCTTAATGGGCAGCTCAGGTCCTCGTGCCCCTGGCTTAGAGCCGAGAGCTCAAGTCAGCACCTTTCATTGAGTCAAATTGGCCCATTCAAGGATAAAGCCAGGAGTGTACCGCTGCTTGGTTATGTCTCCTCCCTTGCATTATGTGGGTGTTCTCTAGATGATAAGAGGTCTAATCTCCCTGAGGCAGTGAGAAATTTCAATTGTGTAGCTGTGCAGCACGTCCCCCAAGGGATCCCAAAGCTCCATTTGTGTTTCTTGCCTGTGACTACCCAAACCATCCCTTGGAACTCGTTAAGGACCCAGCCTAACAGAAACATCCCCATTCCTGCCTGAGGCTGCTTGCTCCCCGAAATGATGTATAGGCCCCTCATACTTGCCATAGAGGGAGGAGCGCGTCCCAGGAGTCTCCTCTCTGATTCGAGTCCACTTACCTTCTCTTGCAGCCGTTCCAGCATCGCCGCAAGGTGGGCCTCTCGGTTCTCCTTATTGGATTCCATCTTCTGGGCCAGCTTCTCCTTCGCCATCTTGATGAAGTTGTTGTTTTCCTCAATGGCTTTTTGGATCACTTCCCGCTCATGTTCCCGCTTCTCCGCCAGGTGCTTCAGGAGCTCAGCCTCCTGGTACTAGGGAGGCCCAAAGGGAGAAAGGCGCTCTTGAAGGTGGGCGCAGGGTGTATTCTTATCACCCTGACTCAGAAGCTCCGCACCCCGGGCCTGGCCCCGGCCCGGCGGCAGAAAGCAGAGCATTCCTAGGCTCTCCCGCCACATCCTCAGGTCCCTTTTCCTTGTCGCCATCATTCATTCTTCCATTCATTCACAAACACTAAATGGCCATATACTATGTGCCAGGCACTATTCTACCAACTTGGGACAGAAAAATTCTAGTAGAGGTAAGACATACATATATAACTCAAAGCAGACTAGCATGCAGCACACGCTTTAAGAGGTAGAGAGGAAGTGCTCTAGGAACTCACGGGAGGAGAAGATTACTTTCTACTTGAAAGAAGAAGAAAAACTTATACAAAAATGGCATCAGAGTTGGGCCATAAGAATCAATAGGAAACAGCAGGCACACCAGGGGCTGGAAGTATAGCACACCATGACCTTCTTCCCCCTCCCCATTTAAGGAGTCTTTTTTTTACTTGTCTAGTCTTTTCCTAAGTCCTTAGTGCTTGTCAATGTCTTACTCTTATTGCTGTGCATCTGAGGCCAACTCTTGGAGGTATGCAATGCAGTGCCTTATCCCCTAACCGAACTGTAAGCTCCTAGAAACAGGGACTTTTACTCCTTTGTTTCTCTCCATGATGCTTTGTTCTCTGCCCTGCCTATGGGGAATGCTGCCTAAATATTTGTAGGTTGGTGGTGATCTGACCCCAGCTCAGAGCCACCACCTGTCTTTTCCAGCTCCTTTCCCCTCCTGCTGAGGTGGAGGGAAGAAAGGACAGCACTTACTTTCCTTCGTTCTTCAGCTGCTTCGAGTTTCTTCTGTATCTCTTCCAGCGATGGGTCTCTCCGCCTGGGTAGGGAGGCATTGAACTCGGGCACTCCATCGAAGGAGGGTGGCTTCAGGATGACTTCAAAGGATTGGCCTGAGGTGCATTTGTTCAGCTCGATGACTTCCATGTCAGAAATTACACACCAGTTCAGGTCCACCGTGTCTGCTGCAGAGAGAGGAAAAGGGGCTGCTCACCCCCTGAAGACTGCATGGGCACCCATAAAGCATATACACATGCACACATATGTGGGAGACCTGGGTGCCCAAAGCAAACCAATGACCAAGGTTCTGGGTCTGTCCTCAACGTGGCACCTAAGTTCGGTGGGCTCTGATGGGGCTGGAGGAGTTGGTAGCCACAATGAGGTCTCAGGCTCCAAGTTTAAGGTCTCAAGATATGTGATTTCTAATAATGTCTGTAGCAACTGTTTTTGCTTCTGCCACAGGGCTCCTCCCATACTCAGCTCTTGCTCAAATTGTCATCTATGGTGGCCAACAGTGGTGCGCTTACCACCCACCCACCACCCAGCCACTTCTTCACTCCTCGCCCCACTACCAATCTGACGGCTCAGCCTGCTGACGCCTCTCCCCCTCTCCCTCCTACCCTGCTCTCTTCTTTCTCTCCAGTCAGCACTGCCTTTCCGCTGGCTTTCATCTTTTCTCCTACACTGTCTCCCACACCAGCCTAAACAACAGAAAAAAACAATCTCAGGTAACCTCCAACCCCCCCATCTCTCATTTCCAGACCAAACCCATCCCTTCCTTTTAACCCCCAGGAAATTAAGAGGTGCCCTGTGCCCTGACCAGCCCCAATCAGGACGTGGCCATTCGGCGCTCCCTGCCAGCATCCTGGGCCACAGTGTCCTGGGACCCACCAGCATGGCTCTCAAGAGCTTTCTTGGGTGGCTGCAGGCGAAAGTCCTTCACCCGCCCCTGGGCTCTGAGCGTTCTCCATCCTTCCTGGAGGAGACTGGGTGGCCATGGACTCTCATGATTTACCCCTGCCTTGCCTCTTCTTCCAGTCTAGGTGTCCCCTGCGGGCACAATCTCTGCATCACCTCTGCATCTCCACAGCACCATTTGCTAAGTGAATGCAAGGAAGCTAAGACCAAGAGCCCTCGGCCCAGGGCCCGATTCAGACCTCCCTCTGCTGCCTGCCCCAGCCCAGCCCCCACCTGCCTTCACAGGGCGCTCAGACCTCGGGAACCAGCTGTGGGGATGCAATGGCTCTGGGAAAGCAAAGGTGACTTGGGGAGGAGGGGCTCAAGAAACTGGGCTGGGGGTGCTATACTTATGGATACAAGCCACAGACACCCCCCACCCGTTACTTTCCCATCTGCGGCGCTCACTTACCTTCATATTTATAGGATGATTTAGTCAGGGGATCTGCCAGGAAACAGGAGCAGAACAATGACACCAGCGGGAGCTCCTTCATCTTCTCTTTATAGGCTGTGGGAACACCCGGCAGGTACAGATGGTCACCCTCTCCTGGTCTCGGAGCCAGCATCTGTGTGGACCTGGTTCCCCGAGCAGCCTGGGGTCCCGGGCTCAGCAGAGGCACCCAGACCCACCCCTTGGCCAGGGATCCATCCCCCTTTGCCCCAAGCGGCCCTGTTTAGGATTCCTGTGTGTGACTTGGACCCAATTCTGTCCACCTACTAGACCCTGAGCTGCCCAGAGCGCTCAGATGACCCCACCTTCTCCCTAGTACAGCATCGCCCTTCCTAGTGCTGAGCGCCCTCAGGTAAAGATCCCAAACACCAGTGTCTTTGCCCCACCCAGCCAGGCACCCTGGACCAAGCTCTCTAGCTCCCCCCACTTGCCCAGCTTCTTCCATTACTTTTGCTCCAGGCAGTGTTTTCCTGGGAACACTGGGGGTAAAGAATTTGGTAAAGGAGCCCGCCTTCACCCTCTGCTCCTGCCCCTCTCTGGGCGGTGAGGTCAGACCGTGAGCCTTCCCTGACCTTCCAGTGCTGTGGTCACAGCCAGAGGGGCTGGCGCCCATGAGAGCTAGAGTGGCACCTCCCTCCCCACTGTCTAGTCATTCTGTGTCTGGGGAGGATTTGAAAACCAGAAGGTCACAAATAGCCCACCCCTACCCTGGCTTGGCATGTGCTCCTGGTAGGCCCCCTCCCTATCGCCTTCGTACCAACGTGCCTTGTTTTAAGCCCAGACACAACTTTTTACAGCACACACAGAAGAGCAAAAGGAAGAGCTCCGCTGTGATCCCACCCACCATCTAGAGATAACCTCTTTTAACCCTGGGTGTAACAGCTTTTTCTGTGGGTATGTAAGTACACATATGCATGTACACACATAACCTGTGCCACGGTGCCCCCATCACATAGATAGTTTTGTGCCTACCAGCGAGGGTCATATTTTCTGGAATGTGAGAGCTGAATCCGAATGAAAGTCGCAGAGTAGGTAGGTTACCAGCTCAAGATGCTGTTACAAACCTGAGAAAAAGAAAGTATTTTACCACTGACAGGTTATATGCCTAGGGAAGGTCTTTATTCAAGCAGGGAGGGAACCCCAGGAGGTGCTTCTTCCACTCCACACCAACTTTCCCCTTTCCCATACTCCAACCACCTCTTTCACCCCAACCCCAATCAAGTTCAATTTCGAGGCACTCATGATGATTTCGTAATTGGTTTCCCAGTCTCAAGCCCCCTGAGTATGCCTACATGGCTTTCTCAAAACTGTATGAATCAAGGGTTGTTCCTCTGTCTCCCTGCCCAGCTCACTGGACTGGCCCAAAGCAAGGGTTAGGGTGAGAGACAAACTCTAAATCAGAATGATCTGGAACCCATTCACAAAATAACTGTTGTGAATTTCTCCTTACACCCACCCAGAGCTTCCCAATGACCCATTCTGATATGGGTGAGAGGGAATTGGGCAAAAGATGTCAAAATACCTCTCCAGGTGCCTTCTCCCCTCCCTCCCCCCAGGAACCACTGTCTTAAGCACTCCTTGACCCCACTTAAGATAACCCCAGACTATGAGAAGAACAAATGTTTTTAAGGAATGACATCAAAATGTAGTGCAGAGATGGTAACCGGTGTGCGGGATTATTGTGGGAGCTCAGAAACGGGACTCTGTACTCTACACGAGGCCTGGGGGCCCTCTGGTGTTAGCAGCACACAAGAGTCTTAAATGAGAAGTCAGAATTGATCAGGAGATGGCGGGGGTGTGGCGGGGGGCATTCTGCCAAGAAACAGCACGTACAAAGGGCGGGGGTGTGAAAACTTGGTCTCAGGTGATCTCAAGCTGGCTGATGCTGGACCAGAAAGTGTAAAGTAGGAGAGAGTGGTGAAACAGGAGAGGCAGGGAAGGAGCAGGCTTGGGAGTGCCTGGGGACAGTTGGTGACAGGGCTCCATTGAGGGCTACTATTGGATAAAGTGAGAAATAGCCAGCCTTGAGTGTCCATCAAGGGGACCGCTCGTTTCTTGGCTACTGTGATGGTTAACTTTTGTGTCACCTTGATGGGGCTAAGGGATGCCCACATAGCCGGTAAACATTCTTTCTGGGTATATCTTTGAGGATGTCTCTGAAAGAAATTAGCATTTGAATTGATAGACGACATAGAGATCCCTCTCATCCAAGAAGGTGGGCCTCATGCAATCCATTGAGGGCCTGAATGGAACAAAAAAGTGGAGAAAGGGTGAATTTGCTCTCTTTGCTTGAGCTGGGGCTTCTGTATTCTCCTGCCCTCGGACTTGGGAGCTCCTGGTTCTCAGGCCTTCTGACTGGACTGAGTTACACCAGAAGTTTCCTGGACCCCGGCTTATAGACGGCTGACCATGGGCCCTCTCAGCCTCCATAATTGCATGAGCCAACCCCCCATATTAATCTCCTTCTACGTATCTATATATATTCTATTGGTTCTTTCTCTGGAGAAACCTGACTGATACAGCCACCCTCAGTGGTCCCTGTGCCAGCAGAGGGTGGCATGAGCCAACAGCTTCCCTGCCAACATCCTCACAAGACAAAGAACCCTGAGACTGACTTAGAACCCCTTTCCTTCCTTAATGAGGTGTTTTCTCTCTGGGGACCAAGGTCTGTCCTGGCTGGGGACGGGCAGGGGAGCCAAGGGGAGCAGTGGGCTCATCTCCAGCTTTAGGTCCCCACCATCGAGGAATCAGACACAAACTCCATCTCTCTTATTAGCTGTCACCAGTCGCATCACATGTCTAACCTTGCCTTCCCCATCTTAATTCTGCACAGAGTTGTCCAAATTAGATGAGAAAAGCAAAAGTACAGCATCCAGCAAAAATGAGGCGCTTCATAGATGTTAGTTTCCTTCCCTCAGCCTTTTCCATCAGGGTGGTACCAGGTGCCACTCATCTGCTTCAGAGTCATTACCTCTGGTTCTTACCAGCCCTGCAAGGACTGTCATCCCCATTTGCAAATGAGGAGATGGAGGCTCGGAGGGTTTATGTGGATGTAAAGTAAAAGAATGGAGATTTGAAGTCAGGTCAGCTGGCCTTTAGAGCTCTATTCCACAGCGTCTCCTTATGCTTTGGAGTCAGAGGCCCTCCCAGTGCAGCACAATGGGCCTCTCTCCTTGAAGTCAAGCTGATCCTGACAGTACCAGTGAGCCCCTGAACAGGGAGGCGGGCCTGAGTGCCTGGATGCGACATCCCTGGTCATGAGCCTCCATTCTACACAGTCTCTGCTCACAACCCGGCTGATTGTGAAGGCTCCTGGTGGAGTGAGTGAGCCTTTGCCAGGAGTGGGAGCAGCCTCAGACTTTACCCTGAGAAAGAAGGGGGATCGAGCTGGGCTTTTTCTATAGGACCATGCCCCTCGGTGTGAGCTGAGAATGGTAATTAAGATCCTACACTTATGGAGCACTTCACAGGTTATAGTTTCTGTCACTCACATTATCCCAGTTGACCTTTGCATGAGGTGGGGCTAAGCTGACAAGAAAGGCATCACCAACTTAGAATCAGGGACTCAGAGAAGTTAAGACTCTTGGCTAAGGTCACACAGCTAGTTGGAGGTAAAGCTGTTCTAAGATCCAGGTCTTCTGATTTGTCAGCTGTTCCTTATGGGCAGTGGAGGGACTAGATGTTAACTGTTCATTCTTCCATGGTGCTGGGGACTCAGGAAAAGCCAGTCTGGCCTGAGGACATGATTTAATTAAAATATGTAATAAGTGCTTTCTACATTTGTGTGGATGATGCTGTGCTCAGAGTTTCAGGAGCAGGAATAATCAGGTAGAGAACATAGGTCAGAGAGGCAGAGAAGGAAGACCAGGGCAGGGAACAGGAAATACCCTGCACTACAGATGGACAGAGGTATGCATGGCCAAGGGATTTGTAGCTGAGAGCACTCAGTACCACAGGGTTGGAAGTTACATAATTAAAAATGTGTATTTATAGAGCATCTACTAGTGAAAATGCCTTCCCTTTAATTTTCATAATAATTTTTGTGTGTGACATAGAAACTGCTATCCTTGTCTTATAGATGTGGGAATTGAGGCTCAGAGAGGCTGTGACATTTCTTTTTTTTCTTTTTTTTAGAATATCTTTATTGATTTCAGAGATAGGAAGGGAGAGGGAGAGAGAGAGAGATAGAAACATCAATAGTGAGAGAGTCGTCATTGAATGGCTGCCTCCTGCATGCCTCGGACTGGGGATGGAGCCCGCAACCCGGGCTTGTGCCCTGACAGGGAAGCAAACCGCGATCTCCTGGATCCTAGGTTGATGCTCAACCGCTGAGCTACCCCCGGCTCGGCGAGGCTGTGACATTTCTAAGATCACTCAGTGTAGTGGGTTGAATGGTGTCCTCCAATAATGGTATATCCAAGTCCTAACCCCTAAAACTTATAAATGTAACTTTATTTGGAAAGGGTCTTTACAGATTGAATTAAGTTAAGAATCTCAAGGTGAAATCATTTTATATTACCTGGGTGGCACATAAAGCTAGTGACAAGTGTCCTTATAAGAGACATACAAAGGAGAGACAGAGAAAAGGACGGGTAAAGATGGAGGCAGAGATTGGAGCGATGCTGCCATAAGCCAAGGAATGCTTGGAGCCACCAGAATCTTTGGAGGGAATATGGCCCTGCTGATAACTTGATTTTGGACTTTGAACACCAAAACTGTGAGAGAATGAATTTCTGTTGTTTTAAGCCAAGTTTGTGGTCATTTGTTCCAGCAGCCATAGGAAACTAATGAACTCAGTAAGTGACAGAGCTGGGGTTCAAACCCATGATTCTTTTACTTTATCTCATCTACTAGTGTTTTGACACAGTCTGATATTTTCCTCAAGATAATCTGTGTACATGTACCCATGGGCACATAGCGTCCTTTTAAATCTTGTACCAACAGTCACATCATTTCTTTTGTACTCAAGACCCAAAAGATGTTGCTGCCCTTAGAACATTCTGAGAAAGGATATAAGGGGGAAGTGATGAGGGCAGGACTCTTCTGAAGGGTCCAGCAATGCAAAGGGTCCCTAAGCCACTGGTTGGTGGAAGCCTCAGAAAGGAGCCTGACTTTACCCCTAATTAACCTGCGGCATCAGTGTTGGGTGGGGCTGGTCACCTCCCCAGCACTCAGCCTGGCTGTGAGAGCTCCAGGTTGTCACGAGTTGGACCTGGATTGAAGGCACACCACTTGGAATATTTAGTGATGTTAACCTATGGTCTGGAGGCCCTTCAGAACAGTTCTTGTCCTCTGTTCTCCCACATTAGACACCAACTGCCCAGGCCATTCTTTAGGGCACATCCAGTCAACCCTAAGGCCCACAACCAGCCTTAGTCCTGGAGACTTGGGCCTTACAAGCATCTCACGGTGCTGGGGGATCCGCTAAGTGGCTTGGTGGTTTGGGTCATGTTGTCATGCCTGCAACATCTGCAGTGGATTGGGGCCACCAGGTCTGTCCTGGGACTGTCAGAGAGGGGACAGTAAGGGTGTTATTGCCCAAGGTCAGAGAGAATAGAATGCCAAGAATTCCAAGAGGCAGGATGGAGATTAAGAGATCATGGAGCCTGGCCGGGCGTGGCTCAGCAGTTGAGCGTTGACCTAGGATCCAGGCGATCAGGGTTTGATTCCTGGTCGGGACACATGCCCAGGTTGTGGGCTCGATCGATGGCTCTTTCATCATTGATGTTTCTCTCTCTCTCTCTCTCTCCCCCCCTCTCCTTTCCTCTCTCTGAAATCAATAAAGATATATAAAAAAAAAAATAAAAGAGATCATGGAGGCCAGAGTAGGCATGAGGCCATGAGGTCAGGCCCATTGGTGGGAGATTCTAGGGAGGACAGCAGACATAGGAGCATCATAAGGCACAAACCCATGTTGAGGCAAACCCATGGCCCTCCCAGAGATTCCTTGTGTGTTTTCTGTTAAGGCAGAGGCCAATCCCAGGCCATGGGTAGCCCCTAAGGAAGACCAGCAAACTGGCGGCTTTCAATGGCAGTAGCAAAGATCAAAGGGACCCCCAACTGA